CTCTCCCTTCCATCCTCTGCTCCTCTCCCTTCCATCCTCACCCGTCCCGTGCCCCTGGCAGGGGCAGGATCCTGCCCGAGGGAGCAGAGGGACCCTCGAGCTGATGAACCCGAAACTTTTCCTTACCGCCCTGCTGCTGCATGCTGGAAAATCCTCCCTGGAGCAGCCGCTTGCAAAGAGGAATTGTCTCTTCGTTTTGCTCCAGAGTCTAAATCCCCCCTTCCTGACTCGGCTCCCCAAAATCTGCTCCTTCATTTGCCTCCGGTGTGAGTGTCCGTCCTTCCCGACGAGCCCCGATGCAGGACATGGAGCCCGACCAGCGCTGGGTGGATGGAGCCCATCCTCCTCCTCCTCCTCCTCGGAGGCAGAGCCCGGCTCTCAGGGGCCCCAGGTCCGGGAGTCCCTCCCCTTCCCCAGCCAGGAGCAGGAAACCCGGAGCTTTCGGAGCAGAAAATCCTGCTGGGAGGAAAGAGGAGGGGAAGCTGCAGGGGTCCGAACTCCGAACACAGCGGCAGACGTTGAGCGGAGCGGGAGGTGGCAATGGGGGGCTGGACGGAGTCCTGTCCTGCCTGTCCTGTCCCAGCTCCGTGGGAGGGGACAGTCTGGAAAGCTGTGGGTTATCCAGCTGGGATGCTGGGCAGCTGGAACGGAGCAGCCGTGGCACCGCAGCCCTGGAGCGGAGCCGGCAGTTGAGCAGGATTTGAGTTGGCGCCGTGCCTCTCTTTGTAAATACACACAAAGTCCCGGGTAAATACAGCCCTCACGCCTCCTCCCCCCGTTCTGCTTGACCGGTCACCCCACAGGGCAGATAAAGCTGTGGGATGGTGATACCCATCTCCGCTCCCCTCCCTTGGCCGAGAAGGCACTGCTTCATCTTCCTGGAGGAGCCCAGGGCGCAGCAGAGCCTGGGGAGGAGCTTTCCCTAGCACAGGACTTTTAATCCATGCTTTAAGCTTTTCTTTAATTGGAATGGTTTTTGCAATGAGTCTGATTTAAGGGCTCGAAGGATGGGGGTCTCAGCAGGGGGTGCTGGTGGCAGCATCTAGTTGAGCACCTTCCCTTGGAGCTGTCGGATATCTGGGTGGAAACACTCGATTTTGAGCTGCTCCCAGCTCCGTGGGCTGTGCAGGGATGAGGGGAAACCCTTCAGCACCGCCACAGAGCTTGGACACACCAGCTCCTGCTGCTGAGACCGGGTTGTTGTGCAGAATTAACGCTGCCCTGCACCGGGCAGGCTCGTCCCTGCCGCCTGGCTCACACGCAGCAAGGGCTGCAAGGCTGCGGCTGTCGATGATAAATGGAGCTGCTCCTAGTAGTAGTGTCAAAGCAGCATGAATAGCATTTTAGCTCTGAGCCAGCCCAATTTCTTAGCTCATGCTCTGCTGTGAAGCTTCCCTCTTGCTTTACATGCAGCCAGCTCCTCTTTTTACTCCCTTAAAGTGTCTGAATGTGACAGGGCTTTGGGCAGGATTGTTTCCCTGCAGCGTTTCCAATGCTGGAATTTACAGTTCACCCAGGGACCAGGCAGCACAGGCAGCACTTGGTTTGAACTTCAATCCAAGGCATGGTGAGCAAGTGTGACAGGGCTTTGGGCAGGATTGTTTCCCTGCAGCGTTTCCAATGCTGGAATTTACAGTTCACCCAGGGACCAGGCAGCACAGGCAGCACTTGTCTCGGTTTGAACTTCAATCCAAGGCATAGTGAGCAAGTAACTCCTGCACAGAACATTTAACTACAGGAGGCTAAACATTTCCCAGGAGAAATTCCTCAGAAAGCGTTTGTACCTCTTCCCCTGGGGGAGCCTCCGTTAATTCAAACCTGCGTGCGCTGCTCCTCGGCTCTAGAGAAACACTAATGAAAGGATTGGGAAAAGTTCCCTCACTTGGCTTTGGAAACAAAGCAAAGCAAAGGGCAACTGTTTCCACAGCAGGAGCCAAGAGAGGCAAAGGTGTGTTTTTGCAGGTCATTTATTGATTTCTCCAACAAATAAGGCCACACACACATACACCTCGTAGTATCTGATCATTACACAAGCTCGGTGAGTGACCCGCGTTTCATCCTCAGCAGCACGAGTGCTACAATGGGAGCTGGAGACCCTGATAGCTGCATGGGAGCTGTTAAGTGGAGAGGGAGAGCCCCAAATTCGGTACTACAAGCACGTTCTGCGCTGGAGCAGCAGAGGAGAGTGGTTGTCCAGAGAGGAGGAGCTGGTGCGGAGGTGGGAGCGGAGCGCTGCGCAGGTTCCTAGGGGTCAGGACGCCAGCTTGTGCACTGCCACAGTGATGCTTTCGTGCTTCTGGATCAGGATATTCCTAGAACAAGAACAGCACTGAGGCGGTTGAGAAGCCAGCTGTGACGAGGAGGAGCTGACGGGGGTGGGAAACTGGATGGGGTGTCATCATCCAGCGGCTGCAGCAACACCCAGCTCTGCACTAGACCTGGGGGTTGCTGCGTCTCTTCTGCCCGCTCCCATGAACTGGAGAAGTCTTTGCCTACCACCCTGACTGGCTACAGCACGGGCTGCGTTATCCGCGGGGATCTCAAGTGTGGAAGAAGTAGAGCCTGGAGAAGAGAAGGCTCCAGGGAGACCTTCCAGCACCTTCCAGTGCTGAAAGGGGGCTACAGGAGAGATGGGGGGGCTCTGGATCAGGGGGTGCAGGGACAGGACGAGGGGAACGGTTTGAAGCTGGAAGAGGGGAGACTGAGATGAGATGTGAGGAAGAAATGTTTTCCTGTGCGGGG